CCCCAAAACCCCAAAACCCCAAAACCCCAGCCTTTCACAACAGAATGAAATTTATGCAAGCCGATATTTTGTTAAATAATAAAAATAAAATGGACTACCAGGATTGCCAGCATGAAGGCTGCAATATTCCGGCTGTGTTCTACATAGAGGACAAGAAGCTGTATGGGTGCTCTCAGCACAGAGTTACACATTATTTGGAGTTTCCATTTATTGCTCTTATTGACACTTTTGTGGTAAAAAAGCGAGTCGGAATCCTTGATGAAAAGCGCAAGGAGTTCGTTGCCTTTGCAGAGAATCTTAATAATGGAGCCTGCTCTGAAGAATACCAAAGCCTGAGTGACACAATAAAAGAGGAGCTTCAGCTGATCTTGGAGAATTTGAAGAAAGCTATCTCAGCTGGCAAACACTTCAAGTATGAATCTTTGTACAAAGAAGTTGGAAATGTCGAGAATCTTTTCTCAGAAGACAAAGAATACATTTCTGTAATCAAGGCTTGGAGCAAAGGATTGACTCAAGCTAGACTCGAAGACCAAAGAAGCATCGAGCTAATCAAGGTAGAGCTCAAGCAAAAGTATGAAGCCAAGTTTCATACAAAAGATACGAGAGCAAAGAAGAGCCAATGAACAGAAGCATCAGAAAGAAATATGTGCTCTGAAGGACGAATTAAAAGCTAAGCGCAAGAAAATTAAGAAACTTGAAAATAAACTCCAGACTAACATAGGAGTGCAAGGAGCAAAGATTAATGAAATGACAATACAACAAGAACAAAGAAATAGACAAATTGAGAAATCTTTCTCCAAGTCAATGATGAAATTATAAAAGAAAAAGAAGCTGAGATTGAAGATCTTAGGGAACTTAATCAAACCCTATTAGAAGATTGATCAAACGAAAATAAGGCTCTTGAAGAAAAAGTAAAGATTCTTGTAGAGAATCTTAAAGAGATTCAAAATGAAAATGTTAAGCTTACCGAAGAAGCCAAGAAAGCTGAGTGAGACTTTGATGAGTTGATGCAATCATTAACTTCCAACCTCAGCACTTCAGATTATTCAGACTTCAGTCTCCTCTACAAAACTAAAATATAATTTACTATTACTGGGTTGAATCAACAGTTTGGGAATGAGTCTACATTGGTACTTGAATGTGGTAATCCCAAACATATGCAGTTCTTGAAGTCTCTAAAACAGAGAATTCCAGAAATTGATAAGTTTGATCTTAACAACATTCATGAGAACTACCGAGAAGTAAAGACTTTCATAGCCAATTGTTTCCCAAACAAAGTGAGAGAGTTAATTTTCAATTACGGCACTTCTCAAAGGTGTTCTCTGTCCTTTTACTTGGAGGAACTGGTAGGAGTGAGCCAGAGAGTCACTGGCGCTCTGTATATTTGTAATTTTGAAGTCTCTCAGGACCAACTCGTTCCTTTCTTCTCTGCAAACAGACATAAAGAGTTGTTTGGATTTCCTTACTGCAAGCTCGACCTTTCTTCTGCTCCTTATTTCGGAGGAAGCCTTGCAGGAAGTACGTTGGAAGGATTAGTTTTGGATGGCTGATTTGGGTCTTTGTATGGAGGCTGAAGTAACAATGAGTCCCACTTTGAAAACCTCATTGCTGGTCTTTCACAAGAGGAGGATTTTAGAAAGAACCTGCAAAACATCTATATGCTTTATTGTGGAATAGAGAAGAATGTGGTGAAAAATATTTTGGCTAATCATGGCTTTGGACATGTAGAAATTGGATCACATTCGAAGTAGATGGCAAAACTGAAACTGTCAAAAAGAAGAATTTTATTTTACCATATTAATATCGATTGATTATATTGCTGATCATAAATAAAATTCAATGAGTCTGAATAGCTGTGGGGTTTTGGGGTTTTGGGGTTTTGGGG